ATTAAAAAGTAATATATGTCTTAGAATAACATAGGTAAATGTATTATTTGCACATAGCTATTAAAGCAATTGTGAAAACAAATTTATATTCATTTTTTTACGTCTCTACGAATTATTTATAAATTCTTGCGATTGTTATTCCAGGTTAATAATATATTAAAAATTTACATTTAAACAAATATATTAAAGGAATTGGCATTTTTAGACCATAATTTTAATAAAAAAAATTTTTTATTTGTAAACGAATCTCTCTTCCCATTTATCTTATTTACTCTAGATATGGTTTTTTGAAAGGTTGTACAAAACTCTTTCGGGAAACGAGTAGGAGAGAGTATTTTTTATCTTCTTTGTCCTATTGGATACATCTTGTAGAACAGCAAGCCCCTCGGACGTAAAACACTGCAATTTTGTAATCGCAATTTTGCAGTAATTTTTTGTTTAGCTGTCACTTCTCGACCAAATTCAATGACAAAGAATAATTGAAAAAAAATGGAACCTTCTTTGTGAACGAATGCACGATATTTAAAACTTCTTTGTAACGCCTTCCATCCTTCGTTAAGAAGTAGAGGCTGTCGGAACCTAGCCATGGTTTGAAGAAGCGTTTGACGAATAATTCAGACATTCTGAAACAATAAAAATCTCGTTTTAGAGTATATTACTTGCTTTTAACTGCATCACTGAATTGTTTGATATCAATGACTTAAACTGTAAATAGTGTCGGTTATGCGGAAGAAATGCGAAATAGCTGCTTTCAAACGTGATAATTTCCTGATATTGTAACTAAGCATGCAAGCAAACAAACACTGTTAACTGATTAATTCGGTATTGGCATGCTTGAAATTATCGGATAATTGAAATTATTTTTTTCTACTCCGCGCACATAAGCTTCCGCGGCTCGAGTTAATGACTTCTTGGTTGTCCGAGGTGACACCGCGTCTTTGGCTGAGAGGCTGACGTTTCGCCTGTCATGTCGCAGGCTTCCTCACGGTAGTGATGGCCTGCGATAAACGTCAGCCTCTCAGCCAGCGTCACCCGGACAACCAACTTATCACTTTTCTTTGCCGTATTCATTCAAATGATATTAGTGTTACAACACAGACTTTGTATTATTTGTTCTGATTATGTAAAATTATGTGTACCCGCAATTACGTTTGCGTGGAGTCTTAAACTTAATTAGAAAGACTAATTTTGAAAAGTAAAACAAATTTAGAAAGGCTAATTATAAAAGGTAGAAATAAAGTGTATAAATAATTATTTGACAATTTTTTACATTAATCTTACAATGAAATAGCGAGCTTCACGATAAAATAATCCGTCTCATTGTCCAATAAATTACATAAATATCTTCCAAAAGAAGCTGCATTTCGAAGCTGAAGAAAACATCTTTGTTACAGGTCGCAACTTATAATCTGAGGAGAATATTTTTATTTGCATATCGTCATTTCTCCCTAGAATATGATCGATACATTGTGTATGCACACGACAATGGAGCTTAATTCATTGTCCAGAAGGTTGAGAAAGCAGATTTCAAATGTTTCTGAACCTGCCTACGAAATAGCAGAACGACGCAGGGATAACGACACCGTGAGCTTTTTCCAACACTGTGTGTACCAGTCTCCTGGTTTCACACGCGGACAGAATCGGCTTGCAGCGGTGGCCACTCCGCGTTGATGAGTTAACAAAATATATACTTAAATACGGCTAAAAAGTTTTCTTTATTTTTTCTCGAATAGAACAAAGAATGCCTACTGAAAAATTCACAGATCTCGTTTCTGTAGAACACTGTTTATTTGAAAATTACCAGTACTTTGTTTTTGAAGTGTCGGAAAGTTTGATTAAGTGGTGTAGGTTGCATGAATGCCGTGCTAGAACTAAGAACCTGAATTCGAATGATAGGGCAGAAAGCAACTTTTTGCTGGTGGAAACTCTTTTGTATGTTAAAGGAGTGTTATAATAGTACGTGGCCGTTACAAACAACGCGAGAAAGTTTGTGCTGCGATTTGTTTACCACTTTAAAATTAGAGCCGCTTTTCAGAAAAAATTGAAAATGTTCTGGAGTTTTCAAGTAATGTAACCCAAAAATTTGAAGATTTCAAATTCAAGAAACCACGAGGTCATCCAGATTGGCGAAATATCAATTTTGGTAAAAATTCTATGTATGGTGTAGGATTTGACTACTTTTGGGGTATCAAGAATCCAAAAAAGCAATATACTTCGTATAAACAAAAGAAAACTTCTTTCTCGGTATCCGAGACCCATTAGACTTGTTTCTATCAAAGTATCGTTACCTACTTTGTCTTAATGCATTACATAACTTACTTTAAATGGCGTATACGAGAAAGTCTTGTAAAATAAGCAAAATACAAAGTAAATCACACTGCACTCACTGTTGGCTTTACCCATTCAAATGTTCTCAGTTCAAAGAGATTGGAGAAGCCTCTACCCTTTCCTGTAACCGTGACGAGTCATTTCAGAGTGTATTGTAAGTCTGGGAGGAGAAAAATAACTTAAGGGTTAACCTGATAGTGCGCATACTTACTCGTAAACTGCCTTTACATACGGTGAATGGGTGTCCTCCTGAGCGTTGATTTTGGTGCCCATTGCTGTTTCTGCGCAATAAAAAACGCAAATTTTAAGTTTTGAGACGGTACAGCTGAGTCTGATATCCACTTTTTATGTGG